CGACATGGAAATGTCTCAGTTAAAGCAAGAGGCTCTCCAAGTACTGCCGAGATCCCTTTTACTTGCTTCTTTACCATCCAGCCAATCTACTTAATATCCAGATGTCACTTATCATCCAAAACCTGAAAAAGATTGGGTATTGATCCGACTAAAAACTAGTATCTCCCCTCTCCCACGAAAGAAAAATAAAGGGGGAGGGAGGAAAAAAACGGGTTCCCATAGCAACTAAATCTAAGTCCAAGTCAAAAGGCCATGAAAACCTGCGGTCGACCTAGCCCCGGCCTGCAGCAGGGAGAACCCGTCCCGCTGGAGGCCCATCCACCTCAAGGATGCTCCCGAGGCTCAGTGTCGCCCTGCGTGGGGCCCTGATGGGCGGGCGGGGACCCAGTCAGAGTTGCAAGTGTGACGGACTGACAACCTAGTCAGTGAACAAAAGGCATTACGGACCAGCCTTATCGGCCAGGACGGAACAGGACAGCTTCGTGGGCACAGGAAGACCAGCGCTGCTTTTTAAGAGAAACCAAGCCGAAGACGCAAGTCGACAGAACCACGCAACACGCCGGAGAAACAAAGGTGGGACTCCTTCGCTCTCTGGCACAAGGCCTCTGGCAGTCTCACCCACCCAGCAGGCACACAGACTTTCCTCTGAGGCCTCCAAGGCCTCTCACTGAGAGCCTGCTTCACCACACGCAACTTTAACAAGCTTGTTACCTGGTCTCCAACCAAAGCTGGATCTCTTTTGCAACTGCCGCCTCTCCTTCCAGACTGCACGCCCTTAAGCACCTGCCCGTGAGCGCGTCTCTGACACAGCTCCTGACAAAGTACGGACTCCCGATACTTGCTGACCAAATAAATGAAGATTAGAAGTCGATGGGGGAAGGGCTGCTTCTCAACTATGACCATAAGCCAAAATTTTTTAGATTTTATCAATTATTTTTAGACAGAGGAAAAGGGGAAGGGAGGAAGAGAAGGAGAGAAACATCAATCAGCTGCCTCTCGTGTGCGCCAGACCGGGACCGAACCCACACTCCGGGCGTGGGCACTGGCCAGGAATCAGGCGGGCAACCTTCTGCTCCGCGGACAGCATGCAGCCAACTGAAGCACGCCAGCACGGGTCATAAGTCGAATTTCAGGAGGAAGGGTTAGAAAGTGCTTGCGTAAATCTCCTTCTCTTTGTATGTCCAGATATTAACATTCAGTTGCTAAAAATCTGTATAGTTTTTATACTAACATTCTCCCATGCGATAAACTAAACTACCTAAATTTTAACTGCATGAGAAAAGAATCTCTGCCCTCTCTCTACTACTGCGCCTCATCTTCCCCAGGAGGAAGGACGCCCACCTGCACCTGGGTCACACACACTCCAGGGCGCAGAGGAGCCCCCTTTACCGGCAGGCAAGGGTCACTGTGTGAAAGGTTAGGCATGGAGTATGGCTCCCTCTTGCCCTCCAAGGGCAGAGCTGGCAAACTGATCCAGGGCTAACTCTCTGGGAATAAAATAATGATGAAGCTGGCATCTAAAAACAGAACAGACAGATGCCGGGCAGGATGAGGGCAAAAGATACAAAACTCAAAAATCACAGTAGTTCAAAGTCACTGAGCACAGGAGCAAACAACCCTAAATACCTGAGACCATTACTAAGTTCCAGCGAAGTGTGGTAATTATTTCCACGTGGGGCAAAAAAGTCTTCTAAATTACTTTACAGTAGTATTAAAAATTTGTTTTCAAGTCCAGTCCTCAGGCACCGGAAAACAATGTGCGTACACCGTCCCTCACACTTACTGAGTAACTTCCAGGGTCGCCACTGCGGGAACAGAGACAGCTCCCAGACCACCAGAACACCCACAAGTGGCCCCTAAAACCTCTGTCGCAGCACAATGGCTCCAAAACCCAGCTGCACGTCAGCATCACCGGAGGAGCTTTTACAACCCGTATCTGCAGTCCCACCAAATTTCCAGAGGTGGGATTCATCATCCATGATCTTAAAAAGTATCCCAAATGATTCTGACACAGGCCAGTCTAGCATCTCCCTGGAGCAGGGCCTCTCAACCTCGCCACTACTGCCATTCGGGGATGGACAGTGTGTGAGTGTGTGAGAGAGAGAGAGAGAGAGAGAGAGAGAGAGAGTGTGTGTGTGTGTGTGTGTGTGTGTGTGTACAGACTTCAGAGAGAAGGGACGCTGACCTGCGCATTACAGGATGTTGAGAAGCACCCCTGATCTCTACCCTCCACGGGCCCGAGCAGCACGCTGCCCACTCCCACAGTAAAAATGCCTGCAGACACTGCCAAATGTTTGTTTGGGGACAGAACCGTCCCCTGGCTGAGAGGCAATGATCTAGAGTAAATCAAAAACCAATCACATGAGGTTCTCTTAAGAAAGGCGGGGGGGCGGAGAACTGCTTAGAGCCAAGAGGCCAGGTCTGCTTTTCCATCCAGCTCACCTAAGAAAAGCAGCCCCAAGTAGCTGGCAGCACTCGGCCCACACAGGGGCTCAGATCCTGACGTCCGAGGAGACCAAACCACAGCTTCTGGTGCTTCTTACGAAATAATCTCAGTGCTGAGTTTCGGTGAGCAGATGTGACAAGGGCTTCTCTGCCATTACCATTTACTCTCCTCCTTAAGGGTAATACAAACATCATAAAATTGTACACCAATAGTCTAAAATTCAGGCTGCCTCTCAAATGTCCAGAATGTGAAACTGCAAGACACAAATTTATCATAGAAACAAACTAAATACCACAAATACTGTTTGGAGGAAGAGCTGCTGTTTTATCTGCAATTAGTACATTATCTTTGTACCAAATCGATAGAAAACTTAAGCTAAGCAAATGTCACCCTGTCCAGTCTTAATCGTATTGCTATTCATTTTATGTCCAGCTATGGTCTAACTCTCAAATTCTCAAGCAGTTAGCTGAAACGACCAAGTTCTTCTTTGCTATACTTTACACAAAAGCTAGTTTTCTAATCCCAAACAATCTTCTTCCTGTTCTTGAGTAAGTTACACCAGCAAGACACTCAGCTCTACTTAAGACTGAATCCATCAAAATAGCCCGTCCCCAGTGCCAGCCAGGTCCCAAACAAGCAGTGCCAACGGAAGGGAGAGCAAGAGCGTGGTTCCGAGCCCCAGGGAGAAGAACGGGGGCGGGGATGAGGAGACTGTGTGTGTGGCTGAGCGGATGGCACCGTCAGGTACTCAGGCTCCCCGGTCAGACACACTGAAGGGCAGAAGAGTTTCCGGAGCACCCATCCAGGACCACAGCTGCTCCCCAAACTCTGCTCACTGAAGTGCAGCTCACACGCGGTACCCTCTCACACCGGAAAGACCACCAGGAGGACGCCGAGGAACCCGGGAGTGGGTGACTTGGGCGCCACTCACACCCAGGACAGAGCACGCACAAGCCGGGGTGGGGGGGGACAGAAGCCCACCCGAGCTCCCCAGACTTCTCTCACGGAGCCACCTCCTAGATAAGCCATTCTGAGGCGGCACCACTGATGACGACTCCAGGTAACATTTAGTTCAATGAATCTTCGACCACCTGATAAAACTGAACAAAACGTCCACGTCATTTTCTCGGGCCAGCTGACTCTTCGATACAGGGGTTTCTAAAGACATTCACCAAGAAGCAGGGCTTAAACACTCATTTGACGTCCTAATAGCACCTAAACATTTAAAAGTCAAATTTTAATTAACAGCCACTAATTATTAAGCTGATTTTACATGCTAGGCACCTTATCTAGCTGCTTTACATGCACGAACTCCTTTAACTCCCAACAAACTTACTCGGTAGATGCTATTATTATTATTCCCACATCACAGAGGAAGCAGAGAGGTTGAGTAACTTGCCCAAGGTCACAAAACTACAAAAGGGTGAAACCAATAATTGAATCCAGGCAGTCTAACTCCAGAGTGAAGAAGGCTCCAGCATCACCACCACTTAGGAGACACCCCAGTGGCTGGGAACCTGGAGTCCCTTCCCTACTCGCTGCAACGTGACCTTGAGGGCAAAACCCAAAATCCACGTTAACGTAGTGGGACAACATCCACGTTATCCACTGCTGTGAGGATGTAAGGAAACACTACCAAGCGCCCCTCCCATGAAAGCAAAAACACTCACAACGCTCTAGCAGACCCGCGAGGAAAACGGGAAAATTACATAAAGCGCCGAGGTGGAAACGTCAGAACACCGAGTTCCAACCAAGGGCTCCTTCCGTGCACCTCCGACCGCAAGCCCGAGTCGCGATCCAAGCGCGCAGGGGCCAGGAGGAGAGCCCTCCAAGCACACAGCGATCAGGCTTCTTTAAGAGGGAGGTCCTTCCAGCGGCCAGAAGGACCACCCCCCTTGCTCATATTCGCCAGGGAGGCGTTCGTGACCGGGTCTACATTCGAGTCACAACACCGGAGTTAAAAAAATTGCTCGGAAAGCGATTTAAATACTCTGAGCAGGGTTTCTGCGTGTTCCGAAGAGGCTGCGGCGAATGCACAGACACCCACAGAACTTGTTTCCCGGAGAACGGGGTCCAACAATGGTCTTCGCGAGTCTGCGGCGAGGTGCCCCTCAACTTGACACGTTCCAGGGGCCCGCGCGGAGAGAAGTTTTCTGGGGACCGCGCGCGGGGCGTCGCCCGGGGCGGACAGGCCGGAGAGGTGCGGGGCCCGGCCGGGTTTAGGGGCGCGCCCCAGCCCGGCCCGCCCGCCCGCCCGCCCGCGCAAGGCCGCGGACCTCAACGCGGGCGCAAAGTTCGCCGCCGGGTCCGCGGCCCGCCCCGCGGTCCCTGGCGGCCGACTGACAGGGGCGGGCGGGGACGGCTCGGGAAGCCAGGGCGCCGCGCCTCCCGGGCCGCGGAGAGGCGAATTCCGGGGGGGAGGGGAGGGGGCCGGGACGCTGCCTCCCGGCGCCGCGGAGGCCGGGCGGAGGGACCCCGCCGCCGCCCACGCGCCGCGCACCCTGAGCACCCCTCGCCGCCGCCCGCTCTGCCGCCCCCCCTCTCCCTTCAATACCTGGAGGTGCCGGCGACCCGCCGCTAGTTGCGCTCAGGCGGGAAACGCGCTCTCCGACACCATCAGCGAAGCGCCCAAAATGGCGGACGTATCAAGCAGGCCTTGAGTTTCCCCCGCCCTCCCTCCGGCGCCTCGCAACCAATTGCAGCCCTGGCCCCGCCCTCGGCTCCACGCTTATTTGCCTTCTTCTCCCGCCCCCTGCAGTCTATTGGGGCTCCCTGAGTCCCGGCTGCACCCACTCCGATTGGTTTTCAGGCCCAATCAGTCAGGCGCGAGGGGCGCATTCTTTTCCCATGGACTTGACGGATCCGGAACCTCTAGGACCCCGGAGTCTGATGAAACAAATCAGAAACCAGGAGAAACCCGGCGGTGTCCCCCTACGCCGTAGCAACAGCAGGGCCTCCCCTTGACGGACGTGTCTGACGGCCAATCCGATAGCCCATGCTTTTTAAAACTTAATTGAGCCAAACCAATCATGGCCGCGGAGCTAGGAGCTGCAAGGGAACCAATAGAGTAGCGAGACCACCAGGTGGGCGGGTCGAACGGTCTGGAGGAAACCGGTGATGACGCGAGCCACAATGTGTGCCGGCAGCGGAAGTTACACAGAGCTGGGGAATTAGCTCAAATGGTAGAGCGCTCGCTTAGCATGCGAGAGGTAGCGGGATCGATGCCCGCATTCTCCAAGGTTAAATTTTATAAACACTGGTAGTATGGTTTGCACGTGCTGGTCACTTAAGGAAAAAAAGGTGCTACCAGGACTTGGGGGAAAGGTGAGGTGCCAAGTTCCCTTGACTGTGTGCTCAGCCCAGTGTTGAGAGGAGAAATGTGGAGAGAAGGCTCTCCATTTTGTCTTGCAGAAGGATATACCCGTGACCTTCTTTCGAGAGCCGTGCCACGGAGGAGTAGCCCACCCTGTGCACTTACTAATAACCTGCCTTATTCCTAAAAGCACAACAGAGTGACATTTGGTGGGGAAGGGCTGAGAAGGACAATGGTAGCGCCCCGTGACACCGAGCTGGAGTTCAGCAAACGCCTTACCACGTACACACGAGTGTGCGCAAGGCGCAGGGGACGCTCAGGCTGGGGGTGCTCTCCATTCGTGGGCAGCCCTCCGGTGAGTTTCTGCTGTGTCCAGTCTGCGGAGGTGCGCGGCTCATGCGCAGTGGGGACGTTAGCACCTGCGTTAACACCAGGTAGTGGTAAGGAAAACAGGCTGCAGAGTAATGGGGATCCTTCTTGAGCAGGTGGCATTGCAACCCACCAGCCGAGAGGAGGAGGACAGAGCAGCAGGTTGCTGGGTCCACGTGGCTGGGGGACAGACCAGGGGCCCCAAGGTGGGCTGTGGTGGGAGAGGGGCATGGCAGGGAGAAGAGGTGGCAGGGGCGATGGGTGGTGTAGGGCCTTGAGGACAAGAGGAGGAACTTGGGGTGTATATGCTCTGACTGTGAGGGCCGGAAGAGCTTCTGGGTAGAGAAGGGCTTGTTCGGAACTGGCCATGCTTTAGACAGGACGGTTTGAGCCAGAGTAGCATAGGACCAGAGCCACAAGCCCAGGGCCTGGACCTGGGGGGGGCGTGAGTCACGAAGGAAACGCTGGGACAGGAGTTGGTGCCTCAGAGGGAGGATGGGTGTGAACGGGAGGGGCGCAACCGGGCAGGGCCCAGCTACCCACCGATTTCCTTACTCATTCATCGTCAAAGAACTTGCCCGCACCTGCTTCAGGCTCCTCCATCCCAGACTCTGAGATGGGTCACAGGGCCATGTAAACTGTAATTAAATAAAATAATGTAGTATCTCGCCCTACCTAAGTGGGCCCTAGAAGTCTCCAATTATTTAATTCCTAACCCAGTGATTTTTAACCTTTTTCATCTCATGGCACACATAAACCAATTACTAAAATTCTGCGGTACACCAAAAAATGTATTTTTTCCAATTTGAAAAAAAAAAATTAGATGATTTTGATTCACTCCCACCAGACAACTATTGTTGTGTTGGCTTTTGTCATTTTTTAATTTGACAATCTAAAGGAAAGGAAACCAGTGCTTGTGACTAAATAGTCAGGTATGGCAAGTTTTAATAATTCTTACAGCACGCTGGTTGAAAATTGCTGTCCTAACCTAATCCGAAAGGTTGAAATCAGGAGAACTTCCTGGAGGATGAGGCATCTGAGCTCAGCCAATCACCTGAGGGCCATGGGGCTGGAAGGAGGAGAGCGACTTAAGCTTTGGATTGGCCTCACCATTGTAGAGTTTCTAAATTTCACAGATCACCGCTTTCCCCTTTTTCTCCCTAATCCTTTTGTGATGTAATTTTTAACATTTAAATTTTCAACCCATCTAGACTTTTTAAAAGTTAATATAAATAATTTTTGAGCACGGGCTGCAAACCAAAGTGTCGCAGGTTCGATTCCCAGTCAGGGCACATACCTGGGTTGCAGACCACAGCCCCCAGCAACCGCACATTGATGTTTCTCTCTCTCCCTCTTTCTCCTTCCCTTCCCTCTCTAAAAATAAATAAATAAAATCTTTAAAAAAAATAATTTCACACACACACAGCTGCATAGAGAAACATAATGAATGTCCAGGGGTGCCCAGCATCCAGTACTTATTACTCCCTAATTTTGGGAACAGACTAAATGGCTGGCTGGATGGAAGAACAGAGCCAATATGCTCCCAAGGGAAGCCCAATGCATGAGTGAAGGGCAGCAGAGTGAAGGGAGGGTCTCCTAAGCAACCCCCACAATGCAGACCACTGCTTCTGGGTCAGCAAAAGTGCCCTCTGCCCCCTGCTTCAAAGCCTGGGTTGAGACTGGTGCTTTATTTAGCACCTCGGGGTGCATGGCCCAACCTGGAAAAACAAGAATTCTGAGCACTTGGGAGCCGCCTGCCCCTTCCCGCAGGCAGCCCTGTGGGGCAGGGAACGCCACCTTGAGCTGAGACTCTGGGGGCATCACCTAGCTCTGCCAGTCCTTAGTGGTGTGACCTTGACTAGGCGTGTCACCTCTGAGCTTTAACAGGTTCCAGGCCCATTTACTAAGGACCTGCTACTTGCCAGGCAGACTGGGCGGGGATACTTCACAGACGTTATCTCCTGGAAGACTGCCAACAGCCCAAAGGGCGGGTGACAGCACCTTCCTTAACAGATGGGGCCAGCTGGTCCTCCCAGATGCAGGCCTGACCCCTCCCATCTGCAAAGGGGCCTGGAGCGTGGTCCCCACCCACTGGCTCAGGTGGCCCTGGGTCTGCCTCAGCCCTGGCCTCACGATCACTGCCGCTTTGCGCTGACTGGTGACAGGTCACCCTGTCCCTTGCACCACCTGCTCTTGGTCCCCGTGGCAAGACCGTCAGCAGCAGGGCCCAGGGGAGGTGACTCCCGAAGGCGTGTCCCCAGAACCAGGCCTGGCAGGCTTGTACTCTGAGGCTCCCACCTATGTCCCCCGGCCAAGCAGGCTTGGATTCCCAGGGGCCACCGTCTTCCCACCGCCTCGGCGCTGGCACTACAGGATCCAGTGTGTTCTGGGGCCTCCCACGGAAGGGAGGGTCCCAGGGGCTTCCTAGTGGACTCCTCTGGCCTAGCTGTCACCTCTGTATTCCAGGCCCTGGGCGTAAGGGTGCCACAAGGTTCAGGGCCCTGCTGGAAGGCCCTCCTTCCAGATGTCTGCTCTGACCCTCCAGTGGAGTGTGCGCCCAGCGCTGAGCGCCGGTGTCCTCCCGTCAGGGCCGGGCCCTTCCTGGTTTCCCCGCCCTCCCCTCCGAACGTGGCCAGTCCTGCCTGGCCCTGGGAGAATGGCCCAGCTTCCTCATGACACATCATGGCTTGCTGACTTCTTTGTCTCTTGGCACAGCCTGGGGGCTCCCAGAGGCCTGGCAGTCTCCTCCAATACCACCCGGGGGAGCTCATGGCAGGCCTCAGGCGGCGTTTGCTGACTGCCTGTGTGAGGATCAGGCAGCGGGGGCCGGGGCAGGCTGGGGCCTCCCTCCCCGGGTGCGAGTGTGGCCCTGCGGCCGCATCCACCACCCACGCCCACACAGGGGCCCCTGGTCCACAACACTGTCTCGATGGGTGCAGCAGCCTGGGCTGGCCGATACAGAGTCAGACGGTGGCAGAGACTGGCCAGGGAACCGGCCAATCTCAGCCATTTAATCTGCAAACCCTGGTGCAAAACCAGAACACAGGGCCTCTTTCTCGAAAGTTATTTCTAACTTCAGGACGACAACAGCAGAGACAAAGTCAAGCATAGGGGCCCTTCAAGACCCCACGAGCCAGGCACCCTGGGGCTGGCCCTGCCCGCGGGCCTCTGCCCTTGCCCTCGGGAGCCAGATGGAGAGACACGCAGGACGGATATCCGGGGGAGGGCTGGAGGTCGGAGTTCATAACGTGGGGCCACTCAACTCCGACGCACACAGGGCACGAAAGAATGGCAGTGATGTTTAAAAAAAATTAAGTTTATAAATATTTTCTCCACTGTACAAAGTTTTCCCAGCCCCGCCCACCCATCACTGTTCACATTTCTCGTGTTTTTAAAATCCCAACTATATTTATTTTTTTAAATCATAAAATATATTTTTTCTTTGTTCATATTTAAAACTATGTACAGGGGCGCAGAGAGGCCAGGGCGGCCCGGCTGAGGTCAGGACGAGTCGGTGCAGGGGGACGGCGGCGGCGGGAAGAGGTGGAAATAGCTCCTCTCCGTGGCGGGCGAAGGGGGGCAGCTGTCCTCGGCGGACAGGTACTGGCTATGGGGCGTGGGCGGGGGCGGGTAGGGGTCCGAGTCCGAGTTCAGATCCAGGTAGTACTTGCTGGCCTTCCAGCGGCTGGCGCTGTAGTCGCTGTCACACACGTCGGTGCTGCAAGGCGTTGTCGGGGGCGCCATACCGCGGATGATGTAGGGCCTGGAGGCGACAGAGACAGGGGAGTGGCACCTGATTTGGGGAGGTCCTGAGGCACACGGTCAGATGGGCACAGGGGTCCCCCAGTCGTGCGGCCTCTGCACCCCAGAGGCCCCACCTGAGGCGGGCGTGCCTCCACCTGCCCTGCAGGGCTGCCAAGCACGGCGGCCCCAGGCCCACGTCGCCTCTCCAGAGGACGAGGCCTCCAGAGCCGACCTGGTTGACCTCGGGCAACTTAACCTCTCTGACCTTGGGGAGGATGAAGTGGCACCCATTTCGAAAACAGCCTCTGAGGGTTGAATGAAATTCTGCTCGGAAAGTGCTAGAAACAGCACCCAGTGCCAGGAAGTGCTCAGCAACCACCCCCCCTTCCGTAATTTCCATCAGTCTGGCCCGGAACGGTCCCGTCTGAGTTAA